CTTTCACGGTCTGTATTCGTACTGAAAATCAAAATCAAGCGAGCTTTTGCCCTTTTGCTCCACGCGAGGTTTCTGTCCTCGCTGAGCTCGCCTTATGACACCTGCGTTACTCTTTGACAGATGTACCGCCCCAGTCAAACTCCCCGCCTGACACTGTCTTGGGAGCGGATCGCGCCCGGCTGACGACCGCGACGAGCGCGGCCGACCGGTGCGCTTAACGCCAGAAGGGAAAGCCCGCGAGGGGCTCGCTTTCCGCCTCACCCAGTAAGTAAAGGAACGATGAGAGTAGTGGTATTTCACCGACGGCCCGAGGGCCTCCCATCTATGCTACACCTTTCATGTCCCTTCACAGAGTCGGACTAGAGTCAAGCTCAACAGGGTCTTCTTTCCCCGCTGATTCTGCCAAGCCCGTTCCCTTGGCTGTGGTTTCGCTAGATAGTAGATAGGGACAGTGGGAATCTCGTTAATCCATTCATGCGCGTCACTAATTAGATGACGAGGCATTTGGCTAGTTACTCCCGCCGTTTACCCGCGCTTGGTTGAATTTCTTCACTTTGAAGACATTTGAACGAATAAATGTCCTTGCCTTCCTGAAACCTTCCACGACACCTACACCTTCTTATTAAACTCAGATATCCACAACCACTTCACACGCCAATGCAATTATTTAAGGCCATCCAATGCGAAATCGAATCTTCGTCAATTTACAATCACATACAGAGGCCCAACAATTTAGAACAACTTAAGTAGAAACGTCGATGAAGGTTAGACATCCAGGCAATACGATATGCCAAAAAACAGTTACTCAAGCAACTGGATATGCTTTTGAAAACGTCAGACGTTTCAGCTAGTATCCACTAGCTTTCGTCAGTGACTGGGAGACCAGAGGGGAAAGCAAGTTTATATACACAACCTGTTGATTGATATGCAAATAAAGTGAAGACAAATTTGGAAGTCGAAAAAGGAACAAAAGTCAGACAAGTCAAGACAAGATGATGCAAATTAGTCTGAAAGCTCCTGTTATACAGGACAGGAGCTTAAGTGTTGTCTGTCCTCGGGGCTGGGAGTGCCAAATCCCAAGTGCCGGAAAGATCGACCAAGTGCCGGAAGTGCCGAAAGAGGGTAGCTGCTGACTTCTTTGACCACATCAACCAGATAGATGACAACATCAAGTTCACACAGGAGCCAAGCCATGACAACATGCTCCCTTTCCTAGACACCAAAACTATCGTAGAGGAAGATGGTAACCTTCGTTTCGAAGTGTACAGGAAACCAACCCACACTGATCAGTACCTGGCCTTTGATTCCCACCACCCTTTGGAACACAAACTAGCAGTGATCAAAACTCTCTTCCATCGTGCAGACAACATTGTCACTTCAGACCAAGCCAAAACGGACGAACATAGACACCTCCGAGGTGCCCTGGCTAAATGTGGCTACCAAAACTGGACTTTCAACAAAGCGCTCAAACCTTCATATCAGTCTAAGAAGTGCAAACCATTGACCAACAAAAACAAGGCCAACATCACTATTCCGTATGTCCAAGGAGTATCTGAGAAACTCCGACGGATCTTCCAAAACTTCAACATAGCCACTAACTTCAAAACTCACTCAACCCTCAGACAAAGACTGGTATTTACAGACTCAAATGTGAGGAGCCCAATTGTAACAACACCTACATCGGAGAGACAAGTCAACCGCTTAAAGTAAGGTACAAAGAACATTGCCGACCTAGTGCCAACGGCTACTCCTCAGCTATTTTCCACCACTTACAAAACAACCAGGGTCACTCTTTCAAACTCGAGTCCACGGATGTCTTAGACCGCGAAACACGCTGGTGGGAACGGGGTGTTAGAGAGGCAATATATGAAAGAATGTACAACCCCACCCTCAACAGGGAAGGGGGGCTACGGGTCGATCTTTCCGGCACTTGGGATTTGGCACTCCCAGCCCCGAGGGCAGACAACACTTAAGCTCCTGTCCTGTATAACAGCAGCTTTCAGACTAATTTGCATCATCTTGTCTTGACTTGTCTAACTTTTGTTCCGTTTTCGACGTCCAAAAATTTGTCTTCACTTTATTTGCATATCAATCAACAGGTTGTGTATATAAACCTGCTTTCCCCTCTGGTCTCTCAGTCACTGACGAAAGCTAGTGGATACTAGCTGAAACGTCTGACGTTTTCAAAATCATATCCAGTTGCTTGAGTAACTGTTTTTTTTGGCATAAATTAAGTAGAACTTTACAAATTAGTCCCTCCGTCACCATTTTCAAAAATCATACTAAAGTAGCTTTCATAAATAACCCCACACATTCTTAATTTTTGTTTAAGTTTCCTTGTTTACTACTTTTCATTACTACTTTTCATTATTGTAGATAGTATTGTATCTTATTGTTTTGTTTCATTTACCCGTTACCTAAGTTATTTCTTATTTATCCGATTTATTTGAATTGTTAATCACGTTATGAAGGGAGGCCTCCTCATAAGCATTTTTATGCTTCCGGCCTCCCTGCACTGTTACATTTCATTATATTTTCTTGTTGTATCTGTATTGTTACATTTTATTTTAAAGTGCGAATAAAAAAAAACTAAAACTTTGACATTCAGAGCACTGGGCAGAAATCACATTGCGTCAACACCGCCTGACGGCCATCGCAATGCTATGTTTTAATTAGACAGTCGGATTCCCCTGGTCCGTACCAGTTCTAAGTCGGCTGCTTCGCGCCGGCCGAAGCGGAGCGGGAGAGCGAGACCCCGACCGCGCAGCTGAGGCCGTCCACGAGTCAGTCACGTCGCCAGGTCCGGGCTCGACCCGACGAACGGGCCTCGCCCAGCCCCGGACATTCCCGTCTCGCTTCTGGTCCCAGCCCGACCGGCCTAGCCCAATCCTTCTCCCGAAGTTACGGATCCGGCTTGCCGACTTCCCTTACCTACATTGTTCTATCGACTAGAGGCTGTTCACCTTGGAGACCTGCTGCGGTTATGGGTACGGACCGACGCAAAAATCGCACGCCTCTCCCTCGGATTTTCAAGGGCCGACCTGAGCGCACCGGACACCGCAAGAGCTGCGGTGCTTTACGGGGCAGCTGTCCCTATCTCCGGGCGAACCGATTCCAGGGCACGCGCCCCTTACAAAGAAAAGAGAACTCTTCCCGGGGCCCAGGCCGACGTCTCCGAGTTCGCTTGCGTTGCCGCACCGGGTTCGCGTTCGGGAATGTTAACCCGATTCCCTTTCGATAGGCCCGGGCGGCCCGCGCCGCGCGGAATCCCG